AGATGTGCAATAAAATATGCAATCATGATCAACTGTGTAGTCGTTTATATATCATTTAAAATTGAAATAAAATGATAACAGAGAGTTATATTAGTTTCATGACCTTTTGTCAATGTAAATTGCTAAGAATTATATAGCCTTATGTGGTTTTTAAAAACCATTATCAATTGAGGCATATGTATGAATTAATTAACCTTTATCACTTATAATTCTTTAGACATAAATATTTTTTATATCAACCATCGAAAATATGTTATACTGTAATAAATAAATTTTGTATTAAAAAATAATAATTTTAGATATGTCTTGTATTGTTTTTATTATTTATATGTTAGTATAATATAAATTGAATTTAAATTGAATATAATATTAACTTTTCGTTTGTAAATTATATAACCTGAAGGATTGAATTCATGATATATATATAAGTGATATTTTGTATTAAATATACTTTTACTTACTTTTTATTTAATAAAACACTTCATTGGAGACGATATTTTTAGAGAAGATTTATTTGATTTATTAAATTTAAAGTAAAAGACTCAATGGAAGTAGCTCCTATTAAAGTTGAAGATTCAATGGAAGTAGTCCCTATTAAAGTTAAACACTCAATGGAAGTAGTTCCTATTAAATTCCATATTCCAGAATTCGTCAAAGAAAAAGTAAATATTCAGGACTACTTATTTAACTTGGAGTTAATTTATAAAATAAGAAATATTATAGATTTAAATACAAAAAAAGACCTGCTTTTAGCCTATATCGGAACAGACAATCTTATCAAAATTAAGAACTTTCACTTTCCAATAAATTTAGAGATGATAAATTATGATACTTTAATAAAAAGCTTAAATTTGGTGTTCAAGGATAGTTCTAGAATTTTCGTAAATAGGAAAATTTTTTTTACCCTAAAAAGATGTAATGAGACGATTATTGACTTTTCAATTAGGGTTAAAACTGTCTGTTCTCTTTGTAATTTTAAACCGCCTTTTAATGAACTTTTAAGAGATATATTTATCCTAGGAGTAGGCTTACCTGAGTTGGACAAAGAACTTCGGTCAAAGTATATCGAAGGCAATATTACTTTTGAAGAGACCGTGCGTTTAGCGATCGCGCTGTCTTTGTTGGAAAATGAAACCCAGACTGAAGTTAATAAAATAATTAAAAATAAGCCAACACAGGGTTCGAAAAATAATTATTTTAGAAATAATAATTATACTAACGTCAATAGATTCAATAATAATAAACACTTTAGTAACAATTATATTCCTAATAATAATTATAGACCTAGTATCAAAATTAACTCTATTCAAAAGAAAGTGATATGCTTTCGTTGCGGTAAGGCAAACCACATAGCAGATTGTAGAACCCATGCCATACAAATGATTCTGCCACGGACACCTCGCCTGTCATTTTCAAATAAAGCTACCATCGATGCGAAGATAAATGGGTTGCAGCTAGCTATGGAGTTTGATACCGGCGCCGCATGTAGTGTGATTGATGAGGTCACCTGGAATCGTATTGGCAGACCACAACTATCACCGGCTTATAAATTAGTGGGATATAATCATATCCAAATCGAAGTACTAGGTAAATGTACCGTAGAAGTCAAAGTAAAAAATATTTCGAAATTTTTACTTATTTGGGTAGTTAAAGGGGAGAATTCCATTATTTTTGGGATGCCTTTCATTAGAGAATTTGATATAAAACTACCGGAAGAAGTTCGTATTAATAAAATAAATATGAATATGAATATCCCTCTTTAAATACGATTGTTTCAAAATTCCCTCAAGTTTTTAAAAAAAAATTAGGTGAAATCAAACTGCAAAAGGCAGTCATCCGAATAGAACCGAACACGTTACCGATTGCATTACCAGCAAGAAGAGTTCCTTTTCCGCTGAGTCGAACCTGAAGCTGAGTTGGACAGACTTTTAGACAAAGGCGTTATCGAGAAGGTGGATCCAACAATAACTCCAATCACTTGGGCTACGCCAACGGTTAATATCTTAAAGAAATCCGGTGCCGTACGGATATGCGGAGATTTTCGTTTAACAATCAACAAATATCTAGCGATCGATAACGATTTACTACCAACTTTCGTCGACCTAACAAATAAAATCGCGGGTGGTAAAATATAATCTACAATAGATTTAAGAGATGCATTTTTACAATTCGGAGTTAGTCCAGAATGTAGGGACCTTTTAGTAATTTCGTCACATGTCGGTTATTACCGATACCAAAGAATTCCATTTGGTTTGACTAGCGCTCCGATAATATTCCAACGCTTTATGAAAAACCTATTAAAGGGAATTCCTATGGTTAGTGTATTTTTAGACGACATAATTATTGCAGGTGCGAATAATTCCGATCATGTAGTTAATTTGGAAGAAGTATTAAGAAGATTTGAGAAGGCTGGACTGATCACGACGACCGATAAAATTAAAATCGGAGAAAAGTCAGTCACTTATTTAGGTCATGTTATTGACAGTTTCGGAATTCACCCTACAGAAGATAAGATTAGCGCTATAAAAAATTTTAAAACACCTTCCAATGTTAAAGAACTACGTTCATTTCTTGGAATAGTGAATTATCATGAGGCATTTATTAAAAATTTGCATTCTATTTGTGCGCCTTTACACCGACTAACGAGTAAAAATGTTGGTTGGTTTTGGTCAGCTAAAGAAAATGAAATATTTACTAAAGTTAAAAATATATTGTCAAAAGTAGATACAATAATTCCTTATTCAGCCGATATTCCTGTCGTGATTTCTTGTGACGCTTCCGAAGATGGTCTAGGAGCTGTTATTGCACACCGATTTCTTACTGGCCAGGAGAAACCGATTGCTTACGCATCGAGGACACTTTAGCCGGCTGAAAAGAATTATGCCACAATTGATCGGGAGGCTTCGGCGATCATGTTCGCTATCGAGAAGTTTCATCAATATATTTTTGGAAGACATTTTATCTTGGTTACTGATCATAAACCATTACAATATATTTTAGGTGATAAAAGAGATCTTAACAAAATAACAAATAACCGTTTAATACGGTGGGCTACGAAACTATTAAATTATGATTATGAGATAATATATAGACCAGGTAATCAAAATAAATGTGCCGATGCTCTGTCCCGTTTGAGGGTAGAGAAAGCAAAAACCAATGAAGTTACAAAAAAATTCGAAGAAGAAATCAGAGGATTAAAAATTAATTTAATAGAGGATTTATCTTTCACACGCAGTAAAGTCGTAAGTGAAACGAGCAATGATATAAACCTAAAAGAGATTAATAAATTAATAAAAAATCATTGGTATATTAATAATATAAATAATTATTCGGAGATTGTAAAAAAATATATTTCGATTAAAGATAATATTTCGTTCGAAGAAGGATTATTATTTTATAATGATAGAATTATTATTCTAGATATTTTAAAAAAGGAGGTTTTATATGTGATTCATCGAGGACATCCTGGGATAGTGGGGATGAAATCATTGTGTAGATATTACGTGTTTTGGACAAATCTTGACACTGATGTTGAAGACTTTGTTAAATGTTGTAAGAGTTGTCAAGAAGGAATGCCGGGAGCTAAAGAAGTGCCATTATACAATTGGAACATTCTTACCCGACCTTGGGAACGATTACACATTGATTTGACAGGCCCCGTATCTGGAAAATATTGGTTAATTTGCGTAGACTCTTTTACCAAATGGGTTGAAGTTGCAATTTTAACACATATTAATTCGGCGAGTGTAATAAATAATCTGCGTAATTATTTCGCTAGATTTGGGTTACATCGCTACATTGTCTAATATAACGGTACTCAGTTTACTGGATCTGAATTCAAAACGTTTCTTTTTAAAAACAATATAAAACATTTTAGATCGGCCCCTTATAGCCCCAAATCGAATGGTTTGGCTGAACGATATATACGGACGATAAAGACGCGTTTCTATGCTGGAAGGAGATGTGTAACTCCGGACCAGTTAAATTTAGCAATTGTTTTAATTACTCACCGTAATACTCCCAATGCAACTACTTGGTAAATCTCCTGCCGAGATGATGTTTGGAAGGTCGCTTAGGACGACATTGGATCAGTGGAAATTATCAACGAGAGAAAGAACGGAAAACGCTCTATGGAAACAAAAGTACTACAAAGATAGAAGTGTTGAACCTCGGAAGTTTGTAGAGCAGCAAAAAGTTTGGATAGCAAACAAAAGGACAGCAGGGTGGCATGAAGGAAAAGTGTTACAACGAAAAAACGCAATATTGTACGATGTGGAATCAGAGGGGATCGTTAAAAACAAGCATGCAGATCAATTGAGGGATGCACATACACAAGAGAAGGAAATACCCGTTACGTTGACCGAAGAAGTGGAAAAGGCAGAACATGAGAATACAACTCTTGAAAAAAGAGTTTCGAAACCCCCATTACGTTATCACGATGAATTAAATTTATAGTGGGGAGAACTGTAATATAAATTGAATTTAAATTGAATATAATATTAACTTTTCGTTTGTAAATTATATAACCTGAAGGATTGAATTCATGATATATATATACGTGATATTTTGTATTAAATATACTTTTACTTACTTTTTATTTAATAAAACACTTCAGTTAGTTTAATACAAAAATAATAAATGACAAAATATGAAATTCAGAATAATTGTTTAGAAAAAAGTATAATATATTAATTTAAAACCAATTGGGGGTATGGGTGGCTTTTTAGTTGAGCCCCCTAAGATTGTAAAGGCTAGCGACGCCCCTGCGTTTGGCATAATTACTAAAAGCGTCTGATGAATAAGATAGTTTTTTTATGTGTTAGATAAAGTAAAAGAATTATGATTTTTTTTATTAGTATTATGATAAACATGAGAATTTTAAAAAAATAAACATTAGAGAGCATATTTTATTTTAACCTATATATATAAAATTATTTTCAAAAAATGTAAAAATTTTATTTTCTCAGTGTACATCAATCATTTCACATTATTTTCACTCACAACTTTTCTAAGTTTTATAAAAGATTATGTTTCAAATAAGCTGCTGCAGTTAATTATATTTTATTCATATTTAACAATAATCTCAGAAAAATAAGATAATATAGCCTAACATTTTGGTGATATTAGCGGATCGAAGCAATGGATATAAGTACAAATAATTTTTCATAAAATAATTAAATTTATATTATAAAATTTTATTATAAATATACATGTATGTTTTTTTTCTATTTTTTGAGTTTAAATATATCAAAGCTTGTCTGGAAAATGTGGGATATCCAAAAAATGGATCTGCAGCAATTTCAATTTTGTTCATCAAACGATTTAATAATTTTTTTAATTTTGTCTATTTTTCTTTTTATCTTATATCAGTTAACCCTACAGCAACAAGATAAGATTAATTATGTAAATAATATATTGGGCAACCTCTCACCCTATAATATTATAAACTTCAAGGTTAAAAACTTGAATATACTTTATTGCACCAATTAACATAAATTCTACAATATAATTAAAATGATTATTATATTAATTCTTGCATTAGTATTAGGTGAATTATATTTCTATATATTAATTTAAATATTTAATGTTTAATGAATAGAGAGAAAAATAAAAACTATTTTACTTAACACTATTTATCTAATCATAAATTAAAAATTTATATATCAGATATGACACACTCAGAAAAGCAAGCAGAGCAATTAGGTCCTGTATTGGAAGGGCCAGGTGCTAAAAGAACAACACAAATGATACAAAACTTATTAAATCAACAAAAACAATATTTGATTAATAAAAATAATGAAAAAATATCTCAAGAAACTGCAGAAATAAATGATGCTGGTTCAATTGCTCTAAAAACTCTGGCTAAACCAAGTATATATAATTTGTTTTTAAAATAAATATTATAAGCCAAAAATTATGAGTATATAGGTTAAGATTGAATATTTATATAAATATAAATGATCATATATCAAACATATGACATCAATACAATATTAATTGCTATCAAATTTTAATAATGATTCTTTCTATCTTATTTACTAGCAAGAAGATTAGCTTAATTTAAAATATATGAATTTCTTTCAGTATTTTTTAATTTTGATAGATTATTCTAAGATTGGGTATTTGACTGGTCAAATTTAATTTGGTAATTGATTGATATTTGACTATTCAAATAGGGTAAAATTTAAGTATTTAATTGTTATGATGATTTCTTTACTTGGTATAACATTTTACTAAATATACAGAATATATTTATAAATGAATATACATATAATTAAACTTTATGAAATGTTTCATTTGATTGGCTGGCAGAGTTTTTTTTTATGGGATTTAACTGAGTTGTTATTAATTTCCTTATATTTTTATTAAAAATCATGATAACTATCTGTAGTTAAGCTAATCAATTTGGTTCTTTTTTATTAAAATTACTTCAAGCAACTATTATTATTTTTTAATAAGCTGAACTTGGAAGGTTTACTATGACATCTACCACTTGCAAAGTTTGTAAAGTCCCTTTTACCAGTGTGATGATGACATCTGATTAATTTTATATATTCTACAAATTATGCTTAACAAAGATGATACTTTTACTTTGAAAAGTTATTATATTAACTAAATGGCATGAATTTCACCACCCTGCATAAATCATAATTCTTTGATTATATCACAAATTTATTATTCTTAAGATGTCAGCTTTGATCGGGCAGTTTTATTGAAATTTATTTAAACAAATTTTTAATGCTTCTGCTGGAAAAGTAGGGGCGTCACTAGCCTTTAAAATCTCAGGGGGCTCAACTAAAAAATTTTTATGGGGCTTCACCCCCATATCCTGTAATTTGTGGGCCTTCGGCCCACTTTTACCTGGTCTTCTGCCGGGTTTTATATTGATATATTATACTTTTTTAAAATTTGTTAACTCTGAACAATTATTCTGAATTTCATATTTTGTCATTATATTATGCATACAAAATAAACTGGCATATAAATAATTAAAACAAACACATTTCTAAAAATAATATTTATTAATACAAAATCTATTTATTACAATATAAAGTATTTTCGATTGCTGATATAAAAAAAATTTGCGTCTGAAGAATTACAAGTGATAAAAAAGATTAATTAATTCATACATATGCCTCAATTGATAATGGTTTTTAAAAACCACATAATGCAATAATATAATTAGCAACTTACATTGACAAAAGGTTATAAAACTAATATAACTCTTTGTTACCATTTTAGACAATGTTTTATAGAATAAACTATAAGGAAAATTTTATAGACCTATACCAAATCAACTATTTTTGAAGAAGGATGCGTAAAGAATTAATCCAAATCATAAAACTATATGGTGGTTAGAGCTTCCTTTTAGATGACATAATGGAAGCTAGATAAGTAATCAAGAAAATTATCGTGAGATATTAAATTTCTTAAAGATTATCTTCCATTTTAAATGATATATAAACGACTGCACAGTTGACCATTATTGTTTATCTAAAATATGCAATCATATGCTCTCAGTCGTTGTTGTAATAATTTTAAATTACATAGCAACACAAGTAATAGAATTTATTATGTTGGATAAATTGATAAAATAGAAACACTAAATCTTTGGAAAAAATAATTATGCAAATATATTGAAGCCTGGAGTTATTTACACAGCAATGCAATATTAGAAATAAAACATTTTCTAACTATAAAATAAGGGCCAGAATGACATGATGAAACAATTAAGATTTTATATATTGTCGCACCACCTTGGTATATTATATCTTAAAATAATAGTAATTTGTAATAATATCAAAAATATACTTGTATTAAAAATTTAACTCAAAACTGTTTTTCGAAAAAGAAAAAAATAGCTTTTTAAAAACACGTAAAAAAAGAGAAGAAAAGATATCAAATTTATTACATCTATTGCAGGATGAATAATAAAATGTTTAATTAAATTTTTATAACTAAATAGATGGCGTTAAATACTTGAATGCAAATTGTTACCATGTTTATTATCAAAACCATTTATTAGTAAAATTTATTATAATATTAACTGTAATATATTTTATAACTGTCAAATACGTCTATAAAAGTTGCATTTTAATTAACAACTGTATATAATATAGGATTATAAACTATATCTCTATTTATTTACTTTTTATAAAGAAATCTCTTATACTTATTTGGACCTTGAAAATATTTTTAGGAATAGGCATGATAATTAAATTTAAAAATAAATATACAGTTGAATAGTCATTTTGAACTCGGCTAATTACAATATTAAATTTGTTATTCAAATAATATATGATTATATATATTTAATTAGGGTTATATAATAATTTAAATAATAAAAGTCAATTAAACTTCAACTGTTAAAGCTAAATTAATATTTAGTGAGTTATTGATATTATATTTTTAATACAGAATTTGATTGCAAGCTGACATAGTGAAAATATAATTTATATTTAATAATCTTATCTTAATAAATAAAATAGTATTCATTTGATAAAAATTTAAATAGTCTTATTAATTTCGAAATAATAAAATTAATTCTATCTATTACTTAATGGAATTATAAAAAAAATCATTCAGGGGGCTGTCTAAAAAAATTATTTTTAGTTCAAGGGGATATTAAGGAGCCATTAAAAAAATTTTTTTTGCTTCAGGGGAATATTCAAACTTTTCAAGGGGCTCGAGCACCTGCGCTCCCCCCTAGCGACGCCACTGTAAAAAAGATATTGGAACACATTACAACTGAATAATGTTATAAAAGATATCTTGAATAATTAGGTTGTAAAAGATAAATTTTATTTTTTACATGGATCAATGTAGATAAAGGAAGCACATCTTGAGAGAATATTAGTGTATGTTGATTTCTTCTAGATAATGCAGCACTTAGCATATTATTATAAAATAAATAAGAAGTGTGAAAATTTCCAAAATCCAAAAGTAAAAGAAGTTTTTCCAATTGTTTTTGTTTAGATAATTATAAATAAGGCTTATTCTTTTTAAAACTTTTATAAATATATGTATTTTCACTGACCTGAAAAGAAAAGGCAGCCTGTTATAATATTGGGACTAACTTATTTCGATTTTAGATTGGCAACAATTTGTTATGATGGTATAAAAATATAAGTTTAAGATGTAAGTACTTATAAAACATTGACCCCCTAAATTTAGTAGTATGGTTGTCATTTTGACTCAGTTCTTTATCAGATTTGAACAACTAAAAAATTCAGTAGTTTTTTTTTGTTAATTTAATTTCTTAGGATTAATGGTCAGATTCATTAAGGCGTGTGTACTAAGGCTAGGCACACATAGCATAATTATTTAATGTTATACGATTCTTTTTCTATTCTCAGAGCTCGCTGGAGTCGCCTGAGCCTGTTGAAATGTAATTTTGAAAATATGGATTGAATTGACCCGATTAACAAAATTTAATTGAAAAAACGTATCCGACTCAAGCATATATGACAAAACAGACTATATTTAAATATTCAGGTCTAGTTTTTCTATACCAGGTTGTATAATATATATGATGATATATGACAGGATCAGAAGCCATTTTTGCCTATTTGCTTCATCGATTTAAATTGAGTGAAATCTGCATGTTGAATCAGATTTAAATCTATACCCTCCCCCCTTAACTTATACATCTTCAATCCCCAACTCTAGACCCCATTATTTCTTTTAAATTATTTTAAACTGCTCTTCAAACGTTCAGCCCACCACTTAAAGAGAAGCTGTTTCTGCATCTAAATTAATTCAGATTTTTCATTTCTCTCAGCAGGGCATATCTCGGTGTAATATAGTAACACCCATCTTACTGTATCTAGATCAGATTTTTTTTTATCTCGCAGCAATTTCTAAACCAAGTCCAGCAACTTGCACTTTGCTTTGATCCACATGGAAAATTCCCTCAAAGAACGAATACTCTAATATTCAAAATGAATGTTTCATTAGAGACCTGCAAGATCGATTTTTTGGCACAAGCTCGCCCACCCGCCCCTCCCGCAATTTAAAAAAAGATAATAGTGAAGGAATATCAAACTCAAGATATCTGTATAATTCTATATTTTAATGTTGCACCATTAAATTTAAAATTTAAATAATCGGTAATAATTTTGGTAATTTTAATGAATTTAATATTTTCCAGATTTAAAAATGTTTCTTATATTTAAGGCTGTGTCCTGAATATCTAAAATTGCATAAAAATTATCTCGCGCAATTTGCGCGAATCTAACGAAAAAAATAATATAAGACATTTTAAATGGAAAATTAAAATGTTGGCCTAAATGATTTTTTGGATTTTGCGCAAAATCGAAAGGTCAACATTTTAATTTTCCATTATAAATGGATTATATTATTTTTTTCGTTAGATTGGCGCAAATTGCGCGAGATAATTTTTTTGCAATTTTTGATATTTAGGACACAGCCTAAAAAAAATAATCATCTTGTAATTGTGATATTCTAATCAAACATGTAAAAAATGAAGAAATAGGATCTTTCTTTCTGGACACGATATTTTTCAGGGCACTGGTCAGTCCTATATGTTTTTGATGATGTGGGCTGGACCAGGATGATGGGCCGGGCCGTCCTTGCATGATTTTAGTTTTCATGCCATAATATCGCCAACACCTTCGGAATTTTAGGAGACGAAACTTTCCGATCAATAAAAAAAGGATCTTTTGGAGAAAAATTGGATATCTTAATGAGGGGGGGGGTTTACCTCGATCAAGGAACATTTATCTATTTTCTCTAAGTGTCCACTACTCCCTAGGATTCTCCACTCCCCTCCACTTCTTTTTTAGAAAATTTTATTAATTTTTTGCCACCTTTAATAAGTCATTTTTTTAAATAATCTCTATTTTATAATTGATAATATCGAAACATACATTTTTTTTTAGAAAATAAAATATATTAAAATCTAAATCGATTAAATAAATATTTATTCATTTAAAAGAACCTCTCCCACTATTTGCCACTAGCAAAATCAAAGTTTTGGAAAAGTTGGGAGAGGCCCAGATAGAAATGATCAATAAATCTAAAAGGTACTCATCCGAACAAAACGTTAAAACGGCTCTTTTAAAGCAGAATGCCTCTTCTCAGCAACAAAACGTAAATTAATTTATACTAATTTTTTTATTCCATTAAGTAGTAAAATTTTGGTTTACAGTTTATTAATCTATTTCAGGGACCCGAACCATTATTTATAACGGTTCAGTTTGGTTACGGTTCAGTGTGTAAAAAATATAATGGTTACGGTTCTAAAGAAAAAATTTATAAAGGTTCGGTTTGGTTCAGTTAATTATAAAGGTTCATTACGGTTAGAAAATTTTTTTTTATTGAAGTAGCACCATCGTCTAATTTATTTTTATTATAAGCATCTATGAATTATATATAAAAAAATATATATATGATTCAAAATAATTCATTTTTAAATATATTATTTGAACGTATAAGTAATATATTTTCTAATATAAATGGATTTCTTTTTGCTCGTTGTGACGATAACATAAATTTTAGTCCCGAAAAGGCCCTTTCTACAGAAACTTGTGTTGCGGGAACCGTCAGTACTATAAGAGCAAGTTTATATAATTCAGGATATTCAAATTATTTTCATTTCTAAAATATAAAAACTGAACCGGTTTAAACCGGTTTAATTTTTTTTTATAAAGGTTCTTTTTACTCTTTCAAAAAATAATTATATCGGTTCGGTTACGGTTATTATTCAGATATTTATAACGGTTTATAATGGTTTAACTGTTCGTTACGGTTCACTCCGGGTCCCTGATTTATTTACAAGAAAGTTTGATAAGAAAGAAGAGAGAGAAAAAAAAGATATATATTTTTTATAAAATCCCTATATTTTTTTTTTATTATAAATTTTATAAATTTTAAAAAATTATTTTAAAATATATATATTTTTTTAAAAAAAACCCAAATATATTTTACAGCAATTGGTGTTTCATAAAAATCACATACAAAGACAGCAAGCTCTGGCGTTGATGTGCAGGTACTTTAATTTAGTATTTTTTTTATAAAAAAAAAAGAATTTGAAATAAATACGATAAATTCTTCTAATATCCAGTGTTTATGATAACCTTAATTAGCTTATTTTTATTGCTATTCATTAAAAATTAAATAATTAATTTATAATTTCTATTCTTTGTAAAATGATTGTAAAACTAAAAAAAAATATTATTTCAAGGGTAAATTGGTGTTAGGAAATAACGACTCGAGGACTCGAGTTCGTAACTTGAGTTTAAGAACTGAGTTTACAACTCGAGTTAGTTTTGGGTCGATTTCTTTGGTCCAAAACTTTGCTACATCCTTTTGACTAGACTTTGTCCGTAAAAACATTATGCCAATATTTTGTTATTTTTCATTATATACCTCATTTTATTAAATTTAGTTTTACTAACTAGGAAAATTAAATTTTTTTTACAAGGAAATTAATTTTATAAATTTAATTTTGTTAGGTTTCAAAATTTTATTTTTTGCCCGTTTTTTGATATTTTTTTTAAAAAAAGAAATTTTTATTTTGTTATTTTTTCCACCGTTTTTTATATCCCTATCCTTGTGTTGGATGGAAAACATTAGGGGAATACGGATTGTGCTATCTATGTTATTTATATATCATTGCGATTCAAAAAAATATAACTAAAAAGGATATACATAGGCAGCATAAATTTTGAGGTGAAAGAAGAAACGATCAAAACAGCCTTCCTCCCTTTCGGCCCTATCCGTAGCATAAGCATGAGCTACGACCCATTGACTCAGAGACACAAAGGGTTCGCCTTCCTGGAATACGAAACACCCGAGGCAGGAGAATTGGCCGTATTACAGATGACCGGAGTGCTGATGGGCGGTAGAAATATTAAGGTTGCTTATTGTTTTTTTATATTTGGGTTATTATTTTTCTTATTTTATTCTATGTCCAGTTTTTTTATTTAGTTTTTTAAAATACATGGAAAAAGGCATATAGCTTTTAATGTTTTCTTTTAATCGCGAGTTTTTTTTTATACTTTTGAATTTTTTACTAAGGTTTTCATTATAAATTATAAACTATATGGTTCGGTCGGGTATAATTAGAATCCCGATAGTAGGGGGGGGGGTTGGTTTTATCCTCAATTTTATAGGATATGACTAGCACAAATCATTGGAAAAATGATTCTTTTTTTATGATTGTCCGAAAGCAAATAATATATATTATTGCGTTTTTTTTATTTTCCCCTATAAAAGAGACCAAATTTTATATTTACAGGATCCTATATTTTTTTAAAATATATTTTTATATGTAATAAGATAGATTCCTATAAATTTTACGTTTTAACTTTCTATATTATTTTACCCTATTAATAAAAATTTTAAAGATAAATTTTTATTTTTTTTACATCTATAATGAAAGTTAGTAATTAATTTGTTTGTTAAAATTGAATATAACATTTACCATGACCTAAACTCAATCTCGAGGTCTGTCTAAGGATTTGTCTACCTACGCCATCCGCTATGCTACCTGGGACCACTGATCTTTTACCACAAACGGATGTACCACGACTTCACTTATTTACTTCCCCTTTCTTTCAGAGTCTTTTTTTATCCTTTTTAGTTTTAACTTGCAAGTTTTTTTTTCTTAGCTTTTTTTTGATTTTATTTTCGAAGGGAAAGTAAATACAGGAAGAATGAAGTAGATTTTTTAAAAAAGGAAAAAGCCGTTATATTTTTCAGAGCCCTAACCATTAACGAACAACCCCGAAAAGAAAAAAATCGGCTCAGCCCGGGTTTTATATTTTCAGGCCCGGTCCGGATTTTTTTAAAAAATTTTTTTAGGTCCGGCCCAGATAAAAATATACTATATCTATTTTTAATTCTTGTAGGTAATAAGGGAATATAAGGCCGGTTATTTAAAAAAAAATATTTTAAGCCTGGCCCAGGTATATTTAAAAAATTGAAATATGACCCGGCCCTGCCTGCAGGTCTCAGATAAAGACATTCGAACCGGTTTCAATCGGTTCATAATGGTTTTTGATTAGCATAATTTAAAAAAACTTATTTATTGTAAAATTTAATAGAATATATTTCATTAATTTTAACTAATTCAATTAAAAAAAAAATGAATAGTATAAATTTCTGTTACTTAATTTTTGTTATTGCTTAGTTTTATTTTATTTTTAAAAGTTTTTAAAAATATTTGTATTGGGGGTCAATAAAAAAATAATATAAATTATAACTAATTTTAAAAGAAATCGAAGACATGTGAATTTCTAAATTAGAATGAATCGATATCAATTTGTTAAGAATAATTGAAATGGATATATTGGTTTAAAATTTCAAATTAAGAACCGAATGGGTTATACTTAACGGTTTGACACCCTGGATTTTGAATAAGAAGGATTGGGAAGAGTTTATTTATGACCATTAAAAAAAATATGAGAGATAGGTTTTAAATAGAAAGTCCCAAAATTGATGATATAAATTTATAGGGTAAATTATTTTAAAAAAGAACAAACAATTAAAAATAAAATAACAATATGTTTTTTTATTTTTGCACAACCCTCAAAAAATAAATGGCAATCAAATATATAATATATAACAAAGCAGATTTAAAAAATACATTAAAAATTGGATATTTTAATTTTCGTTTTTTCTTTATATATATATTCTCCTTTTTCTAAATTCCTTTAAAATATATTTCAATATAAATTATATTTTTATAAATTTACCTTAATTCATTGGTTGTCCTCGATAACCAATCTCCAAAAATTGATGCATTTTATTATAATAATTTGAAAAATCAAAAGGAATAGTAAATTCATTAAGAATTGATGTTACATTATTAATTATTTCGTTTCGAGTATTTGGTCGGGGATTGATCGACCTATATTTGTTTTTTAACACTCCAAAAAAATTTTCTATCGGGTTTAGTTGCGGCGAATAGGGTGGCAGTTAGTATATTTTCTTCTTGGAATAGCCGATGTTGGATCAGTAATAGAATCACCACTTACAGAGGAAGAATTGATCATATGGAAATTATTTTTAATATTTGGTATTGAATTTGAATTAGATAAAAACAGGATCAGGATTTTATGTAAATGAATTTGTATTACTAGATAAAATTTGTCGTATATTAAACATTTGAAAAAAATATTAAACTCTATTTTATAAAAAAAATTAAGTTATATAAAAATTGTAAATGCAAAAAAATTACCGTATGTATTTTATAAAAAAATTAAATTATATAAAAATTGTAAATGCAAAAAAATTACCGTATGTATTTTTTAAATCTGTTTTGTTATATATTATATATTTGATTGTCATTTATTTTTTGAGGGTTGTGCAAAAATAAAAAAACATATTGTTATTTTATTTTATTTTAATTGTTTGTTTTTTTAAAAATAATTTACCCTATATTATTTCCCCTTCAAAACGCTAAATATATGTAGGTAGGAAGGCCGAGTAATATGCCACAAGCGCAACCTATTATCGAAGAAATAAAGGAGGAAGGCAAAAATTTCAATAGACTCTACGTGGCCTCCATCCATACCGATTTGAATAGTGATGATATCAAAAGGTATTATATATATTTTTCCAACAAATTGAGTACAATAATTTATAGAAGTCACGAGAAATAAACCACTTTTAAGAATATGTAAAAAAAATATATAATTCCAAGCAATTACAAAATTGCAATCAGTAATTTCTATACATTTACATTACTAAATTCGGAGTATGAATACTCCCAACGATATCAAAGGCTCTTATAAACAATGTTAAAAAGGATGATAATGATAACCTTATCAATATATTATCATTCACTAATAACTTCACTTATCATGATAAAATTTGAAGTTATGATAAAAATGATAATATTAATGACTATCCTGGAAAGCATAGAAGCCATTCTAAGCTTATGGGGATCTCATCTAATAGCATGTTATATAAAATATGATTGTGGCATGCATAGGGTTGTTAAACCAAGGAATATTTCCGGGAATTTTTTTGAATATTCCCTGGGAATATATTAAATGGGGAAGGAAATATTTTCAAAATCTCAATTTTTTAAATCATTAAGAATAATCAAAACTAATCCCATTTGCAATGCATTGGGTGTGCTGCACATGGATAAATTTATTAATTAAAAAAATATAATATATAGAAATGTGGAAACGTTAATAAAAGAAATTAATTCGCCGTTACATCCTTTCAACTTTCCCCTATTTGCGGGAAAGTTGGATGTAACTGGATGCCTAGGCCTTTATGGCTTTGGCATCCCTAAGGCTTTATTGAATCAAAATTTTATATATCACAATTGTAAAAAGAAAACAATAATGAATATTAACCGATATAATAAGCTATTTATATAAATAAATAAAGGAGAGGATTCGTTCTTTCTGAGGTTATATTGTTTTTGGAATATTTTGATTCAATTGATTAATAGATCTGCTGAGTTTATCGAGATATCATCCCAGTGGTAAGAAAGTGTGGTGTGCATACTAGGAAGGTTTGAGATGATTGATGGAGTGCTAATTGAAGATTCTTCACCAAAGAGCGAGGTTTCTTCTTGTTGTAAGGTCAATTGTCCGGTGAGGATACGGTCGCCAAATAGGTCCAGATGCTCTCGTTGGGCCATCCAGGTACACGACGGCTCATCCGCCGGATTTTCCTCGGAAGGTAGCCATTGTATGTTCTGAGCCAGGCTAGTGAAGTTTGCCAACCCAATCTTTTGAAGTATTTTTGCAAAAACTAAAAAAGAAACATGGTAATTATTATCCAGCACTTGAAATTGCCAAGTCCGACACGATGGGATGGTGCAATAATGATGATAAAGAGTTTAGCTAAATTTCAAGAAATGGCAATCCATAATATTTTTGATAGAACTATTAAAACCAAAATTCTGGATTGATAATTTTAAAAATTAAGGAAGTTTAGAATTATTGGACCAATATATGCTGAAATATTGTTACTTGAATCTGACAAAGCAACACTTTCTGCAATACCTAAATGTTTAATATTAAAAAATCTGTTGATAATATCAATATGTAATATACAGAAAAGTTAAGGATAAAAATATTTATTCAAAAGAGAAAAGAATTCTGTTGCAAAAGAAATCCATTTTTTAAATTTCTTGGATACCAGATTTATTGGGTGATAACCTTGATGATGATATTGAGAATGGTCATGGGATGATAATAATAATAAAGTCTTTTTCTAATTTTTTTAAAATAATATGCTGATTTTGCTTATTGGAAACCAAAGATGGTTCTTTATAGAAACTCTGGTATTTGGGATGGGGTGAGATATCTTACTCCAATAACATAGTGAAGGGCTCTGTACAATCAAATTATTCTCTACAGTTTCCTAATGGTCATTTGGAAGCACACACATTAAGTTAAGAAATAAAAAGTAGAAATGCTGGTATCAGTTCGGCATAGCTTATACTTAATAAATCAACAATTCTCCTCAAATACTCAATCTAGAATCAATAGACATTTGGAGAAAATAGTTCATCAGAAATTGAAATATCAGAATGATGATTGTGGGTTGATGATAGTATGAAGGGCAAGTTTTGACAATGTATTTTATTAAACATTTAATACATATTCTTATTATGTTATTTGCATTATAATTTATCTGTTGTTACTTGAAAATAATAAAAATATAGTATAAAAATTAATTGAAAATTTTGGTTAATTAAGCAATATGTCCATAAATTTCCGTTAATCCCCTTTTATTCCCTAAATTCTTATGGGAAAGTCAACCGCAATAAAAATTCCCGCGAATTTTCCAAACCTAGCCATAAAAGAGTGAAAGATCTCAAAATTAACATTTTAACCTTCATCAACTAATTTAAGAATTGAATGTATGTCGGCATTAGAAAAAGTGGTCCGGAAAGAATTTATGAAACACCTCATGATCAATAGATTACATTGCAAGACCAGATTGTTGGAGATATTATGAAAGGACTTTTATGTTATCCAGGAAGTCATATCTTTTATCATTTGCATCAAATTGTATCTCAGTAGTATGTTGGATACTATAATAAGTAACAAGTATATCATTATCATCATTTTTAATAGGAGTATCCATACAAATTTACCTATTACTGATCTCAATTTTGTAATCGCTTGGGATTAGTTTGAATGAATAGTGAATATTATATAATAGAAGCTGTTTAAAAATAATATATGATCAATTGTTTATTTAAAAATATAACTAATAAAACTTATCTTTGAAATTACATGCAAACAGAGGGAATGATTTAAATAAATCGCGAATTAAATTAACCTGATTAAATCATGCCAACCCTAAATGACAATAATCATATTTAACTTTTTATACATACAGTGTATTTGAAGCCTTTGGAACGATAAAATGTTGCAAATTAGCCCCCATACCTATGACGACTAAACACAAGTATATATCAAGATTTATTAAATTCACATTAAAATATCTTGAAATATGTTAAAAAAATATTGTCGTTTTATCAAGAAATAAATAGTTCGCAACTTTCTTACCAAATAGTTATTTTCCAAAATGACATCAAAAATTTATTTTACCCTTTTTAAGATTTGAGGAAATTTTTTATAAAATGAAAAATAATTTTTATTAAAAGCATAAATATAAATATGCAAAAATTGCCTATAGTGGATTTAAACCTAAGATAATAAATTTGAAAAATGAACTCTTTCGAAACATCAAAATAATTAAATTCACATTTTCGAAATTTTAATGAAAACAAATAAATAAGATATTTTAAATATAAAGATAAAAACATGGCCAAAACATAATTCTAGAATTTTTTAATATAAAATTCAAAAATTTATAATATGATTTATATAAAATTTGTTAAAATTTTGAATTTGCTAATTTATTAAAAATGGGCTTTGATAAGAAAATAACGATATTTACAAAAAGGTAAAATTTTATGCATGATATGGAAAAGTTGTGAAAACTTGAATAAAGGGAGAAAAAGAAAAAACCAAGCTGGTAAGGCGAAATCAGTATATTAGTAAATAAATGAAATATAACGATGTGATTGATAAGGAAAATAGAGGGTGAGTGAGGTACATGGGTGTTAAAAAGTTATAGGAGTATTCGTAGAATGAGCATTGAGCTAAAAAAAATTTGAAGATCTCCTCGGGGCAAAAATTAGTTTACACAAGTCTTTTAAGAAATCTACGAAGCAAGAATTAATAAAAGAGGAAGGGAGATCAATACAGATTAAATATCAGGCAAAATAAATCAATTCTCTTTCCTAGAAATTGGTTATTTCATCAGATTGACAGATCTTTAGATGATGGTGATGGGTATGGTGATAAGGGATAAAGATATACAAGAGTTATCATTTCTATTGTAGCCTTATAGACAATGGAATATTTGCTGGCTTACATAGTTGGATAATTGGCTTAGCCTAGCCTATTTTTTTCGCCAAGGCTAAACCTGAGCCAATTTCTGTGCCCATTTTTTGGCGAAGGCCAAGTCTGTGCCGGTTTATTGGCTATTACTGAATGTAAGCTGATTTTGATTGGCGTACGTTCTGCTTTACTGTAAATTTTACAATAATTTAATTCAGAAGGGTGATAATTGTCATATTCATCATTTTAAAACTTTTCCAATTTTTTAAAATGAAATTAGGTATTAAAATTGTTTTAGTGGAAATTCAATACAATTTTCGTATTCGTCATAAATCTTTTCCAATGTTTTTTAATGAAAATAAGTCATTAATAATTTAAATCCTGTTTTATTGGAAATTGAGTAATAATTTAATCTAGAAGGGTGACAATTGTCATATTCGACATTTTAAAACTTTCTTAGCCAAAATAAATCGGTTTTAGTATTAGCCAAAAAAATCTAGGCTTATATTAGCCAAAAAAATTAACTTTTACTCAACTATGCTCATAGATAGACGTAAGAATAATGAATACTGATTACTGCAAAATGGAACTATTGTTGGGCGAAAAGAGGGTAAGGGGGGGGGGTGATTTTATGGAAGCTAAGATTTTTATTCTATCTGGGAGGATGAGCAAAACCTAGAATCATGGGCGTTAAATACTGCCAAATTAGTGAGGTGTAAATTAATTTATAAAAGAAATAAGAATAAAAGGCTAAAAAATGATAGATATAAAAGTAAACGGAATAAAAAAAAGGGGAAAAAATAAAATGATCAAATTACATATTACTACCACCAGATAACTTTTGAATGTATTTAAAGGGGTTATGGTTACATTGAATATGAGACAAAACAAGCTTGCGAAGATGCAATAACATCCATGAATCTTTTCGATTTGGGTGGCCAATTTCTGAGAGTTGGCAAGGTAAATCATCGTTTATTTATTAGTTTTTTTTAAAAAATAACATCAATTACCCGAAATATTTTAATTGCTTAAAAAATCCACAATTAGGCTGTCACTCCTCCTTCCAGCGTGTCCCCATTATCTATTGGCGTTTTACCGCCTTCTTTATCTCCCAGTGCCCTCTTGTTTGGTACCGGATTCGGTACGCCCGATTTTGCCGTATCCGAATCACTTGGCGCGGAAACCGAAGAAAGTTCTAACAAGACTCCAGAATTGAATTCCGCTAAAAATGATCAAGTAACGGCCCAAGAGGGTAAAATCGTTAAAGGAATCGTCATACCTAGTCTCATGAGCATAAATTTAGTAATAAACGAGTTGTCTATAGTTATTTATTATTGTATTTTATTTTGTCCTTTCAATTAAATATGATAATATTAATATCATAATCTATCATATTTCATGTTAAAATCACGGGAAAATGAGAAAGAAAGAATTAAAGAAGGGCAGATTTTAAAAAAAAACAATGCAAAATTTAACGTTATTAAACGACTCGATTTGAGTCAATTTTTAAAAATGGCGAACTCTATTTTATCCAGATAAAAATTATGCAAACTTGAAGATTTTGCTCACAGATGGCACATTGGACATAAAGTAGCGGCTTGAGGCCTAGGCAATGTTTTTAAAAAGTCGGCTCAAATCGAGCCATTTAACAACATAAGAAAAATAAAAACTACATATATATATATATATACATATTTTTTTAAAAAAAGCCTCCACCACCTCCACTCCTTCCTTTAGAGTTAACTAATGCTATTCTGTCAAATAATGCTCACTTATCTCAAATGACTAATCTAACAAACGGTTTTATTCATTTATTTATTCGTATAATGGGATTTATATCAAGGATGTTTTATTATGATTCGGAGACCTATAGAGGTCGAAATTTTAAGCTTGACCCGAATATTTAAAAAATTTAAATTTTCAAACCCAGCCCGGATTTTTTAACAAATATTTTGGCCCGGTCCGGCCGGATTAATTTTTTAAACCACACTCGACCAAATTTAAATTTTTTTTTGTTATAATCATTTTAGTAATATTTTGTAAATTGCCTTGTTGATAAATTGAAAATATAAATTCTAATGAAAGTTAGAGGATCCATGATGTATGATTTTTGCAAACATTTCACAGCTTATTAATGGATATAATATAAATTTAAGCCAGGTAAGGGTTTTGTAAAATAATTATTTTCTAATCTTGGTTTCTTTCTATAGCCCGGCCCAGATTTTTAAATTTATAATGGTCATTACAGCGTAAATTATATTATTTTAGATGTAAATATTTTTATACATGCCAACCTAACATTACAGAAAGGAAGAAAAAAAGACATTTAAAATAATATGTATATATTTTTTTATATCTAAAAACTAAAATCATCCTCGAAAATCGCAGGTATTTTTAATTCGACCAACTTGAAAATACCCAATATTTCCAACTCGATTTCTGATAAAATTATTCAGGATGCCAAATCTAAAAAGTCCTTCGATGAATCCCAAGATCTTTTGGAGATTAACAAAAAAAGACAAAAGTTGGACGATTCAGAAGATGTAATCATAAGCGGGCGTAAGGCAAGGCATATGGTTATGCAAAAACTCATGAAAAAAACAGAGGTTTTTAAAATAAATTGATTTTATAAAACTGAGAATGATCAGGAGTTTTCAATTTATAAAGTATTTAAATGAATTTTTATGGGAATATCTGGAAATTTGATTTTATTTTGAACTCACAAATATGAGGGGAAGGGGGGGGGGAGATTGGATTGAGGTAAAATACAAAAAATTTAATTAATAACTTAAAAATTTTTTAAATGTTTTTAAACATAATACGCCTTGATTTTTATTATAATGTGTAACATTCATTCAAATTTTTTTTTTTATCAAGTCGAAAGTTTTAGTACTCAAAAATATGGTGGGCCCGGAAGATATAGATTCATTACTGGAAGGAGAAGTAACGGAGGAATGTAGTAAATACGGAAAGGTTACTAAAGTGCTTATCCATCAAGAGATCGATGAGTACGGAGTTTCGGATCCTGAAACCGGCGAGTCAGATATAATCGTCAAAATATTTGTCGAATTTTTGGCTCACGAAGGTAAAGTCATGATGTTGGTAAATAATTCGATGGTCCATATGCAAAAATTTTAAAAATTATTATAAAATAAAAAAGCCTACACATTATTTCCTTATGTTTATGTTTTAAGAAAAATGTAGCGAATAAATAATCATAATATCCTAACTTTTTATATACATTCAAAATTTTGCCTTTTAGACGTTTTAAGAGCGAAGGAAGCCTTGAATGGGCGTTATTTTGGCGGACGAAGTGTAGTGGCGGAAGCGTACGATCAGATAGCTTATAATGACAACGATTTATCCCTGTAGCACACAACTACCTTAAAACAAAATAATAATTATCGATTGTGTTTAAGATGTACATAATTAATATGGTATTATAGATATAGTGTAATAAGTCGCAAAATAGCGATTATTGTATGGATATAATTGAAATGGGTTTTATTTTAATAAAGATATTTATATATATACTTGATATATTTATATATAGTAATTATAAACAATTTGCTATATACACAATGTAATAAAAATTGAAAAAAAAATATGGATGGAGATGTTTAATATAGGGGGGGGGGTATGACAGAAGATCATATCGAAATAAAATAGGTGTGTAAAGGGGTGGTTAGGAGATATGGTTATGTTTTTATTTTTTGCTAATTATTTGCATTTTTTTCTTTTTTTGCTAAAAAAATATTTAAGGGGAGGGGAAGGATGGTGGTAATATTGCCATTGGCTTAGAGTTGTAGAGTGCTTCAACACGTTCATAAATTTTAACTTTAATTGAGTTTTCCTGAGGTTATTTTAATAAATAAAAAAGTATTTTAAAATAAAAAAGTGAAGAATTTCAACAAATTCTTGTTAAAATCTGGGGCCTCTTGGTTTAAGCAAAAAATATTAAAAATTAAAATTCAGCAATACTTGACTATAAAATTTTATATATTGGCAATGATTGCACTAAAAAAAATTTAATGTGATCTCATGTATATTTTTCAGTTGTATTTCAGAAAAACCTATTTAAAGAAATATGAAGGTTACACTCTAGCCTGCCTGTTTTCACTTTAGACTATGTCCAAAATCTTTTTTTGAAAAAATGGAAAAGTTTTAAAACATTCAGAAGCTTAGAAATTTTAATAAAATAATTTGTTAAATTTTTCAAAATTTTCTAGAATTATATTTTGGACATATTTATATTTGTTTAAAGAATGTTTCTTTTTTCGATAAATTCAAAATGTTGCGAATGAATATTTTTAAAAATTCAAAGATTATTTCTCAAAATATTTTTGAAGATTTTTTTAAACTTTTAACCAAACACTATGGCTATCGATCGGAGAGCTTTATAGGCCGTGTTTGGAAATTTTTTTGACTTACTTAGGCTTGGGTAGTTTTTCTAATATGAAATATGGGACTAGGCTTAATTTTTTTTACAGCTGGTCTGGGCCTGACCTGATGAAAAAATTAAGGCCCACGAAGGACTCCACTATCGATATGATTTCATAAAATGCATTCATTAACGCCAATTAATTGAGAAGCTATGATCTGAGTTAGTGATTTTTAAGGCAGCTAGCTGAAGAAGAAGTACATAATATTCAAATTACCATAAATTTCAAACTTTTTCCCAATAATCGATTCAAATAAAAATATCTTACCATATGATAACGTTTCGGAATTTTATTTTATGAAAGGAAATATCTAATTTTATGTGACGAATTTGAACTCATTCCTCTCTATTTGTAAATGAAAATTTGAAAGGGAAAGTATTCGATATTTTGTTAATGAACGATGATTTGGTTTTTTTTGATTGTTACAGTACACTAAAAATATTTACTAGTTCATATTCCAAGCTGCTGAATCACGACTATCATTTTGAAAAATAAGGAAGTTCGTTTTTTTTGTGAATTTTTTAAAATTTATGCTTAAATTGGGATATTTTTAAAAAGTCTTCAAGTTCATTTTCATACTGGGCTGCCATATGTTTCTAAATCGTTTGGTTAAAATTATTTTTAAATACAAAATCATTAAAATATTAATGATTTTAGGCCATAAAAAAATTATAATTCGCACAGTGCAGTTTGCGGATTAAGATGGGCAAAAATTGCATTTTTTAAGTATCCTATTTTTATAAATATAAATTTACACTGATAACACTGAATATGGCAAACTTTGGATTCGGATGATCAAAATGATTACATCTCCTATTAGCTTAACTAAACCTTTTCTATTTTATTATAATGAAGATGTAATTTTATATAAAAAATAATACTCTATCAAATTAATCCCCCCCCCCCCCCCCAAATATAACTATTATTAGGTGTTCATTATGTGATAAACAGCGATTTATTTTGATTTGACACCTTACACTATATTCATTTTGAAAGTATAGAAAAATGTTATAATAATTTTACAAATCATAAACTTATTTTTTTCTTATATATAAATAAATAAGATTTTTAGCCAAATAAATGTTAACATATAGCAATAAATTACTCTTCGAACATTTTCATAGCGACATCCACAGAAGAAATATTTATTATTAGATTAATGATTACAGTGGTAAATAATACTTTCAAGAACTTTGATTCTTTAGAAAAATAAATAAATAACACACTATTTAGACACTAATCACTATATTCATCTAATCCCTTAAAAATTTTGTATGCTTTTCTCCTTACAATAAATACTAATAAATTTTTTAGCATATCATGCTCTATTTTATCTTTAACTGCATCTTTTATTTAATTTATCGTATGTCAAACAGGGCTTAACCCGACCTGCCCGATTTTTTTATATCTCAACCGATACATCCCGAAAATTAGAATAATCTTATTTCCTGATCAGTCCTAAACTATGGGTTGATAACTGGGTCGGGTTTTGGGGTTAAATCGGGATTTACAGACTTCTGCTTTTTTATATTTGATCAAGACATAAATTTTTTAGGATTGTTAAATTAATTAACAAGTAAAGAAGTGCAAAACCTTTTAGTTAAGTTTATTTCCTAATCCCATTCATCTAAAGAGTAAGAGGAAGTGGGGCCTGAACAATGTCTTAGTCATAGGCATTGTCAGGAAAAGGGCGGAGAAGTCCCCCTTCGGAAATGTTTACATAAATATCATTCTAAGCTAATAATCCCTTCCCCACAAACCCCCTATCTAAAAAATTTATACAATATTGTAATAAAAATATATGAATTAATAATTTATATCTTCTATTGATATGGACTCTAGCGTATAAAATATACTTCGATTTATAAATCATAAATGAAATATTTGTTCTTAGTATTTTAATTAATATAAATTTATATGGTCCACTTTATCCTTTTATTTTTCTTCACCTAGCATAAAAAAAACAAGTAATTTATAAATGATGGGTTTCAAAGGTGTTACAACTCATAACTTATTACCCTTCAAATAACTTTTTCATATGATAATGTTATCATTTAAAAATAAAATACCTATTTATCAACCTACAAATTATGAAAGTGTTAAAGGTTTTATGATTGCAATGTGCGATAATCAAAAAGAATCATTAGATTTATTTTTGCTTTTAACACTTGCATATTATTTTGTACTCTTTTTTTTTGGGTATAATATACATAGTTAAAAATAAAATGTTTTTAAAAGTCAGGGTTATCATTGTAACTTATAAATATGAAGGAAAATTTCATCAAATTATATTTTACAACTTTAAAATATTTTTCTTTAAATAATCAAAAATATTTTAACACTTTAAATATATTTAATACAATGTATCTATTGGTATCAATCCTGATAGTATTGAAATGTTTTTCTCGGATCTTATCTGAAAGTGCTTTTCAAATTGTTTGGAATTCCCCGACTCAAGTGTGCAAATATAGGTAAGGGAATATTTAAAAAAAGAAATTATAATAAGAAAAAAAGAAAATAAGAGAAAGAATCAAAGTTTGCACCTGGTACTAAAAAGGATTTTTGCGTTTCTAAAATATTTTTTAAAAATTGGTTATGGTTTGGGTTTTGGGATCCAAAATTTTGAAAAGGGGGTTTTTGATTCCAAAGTTTGACGCTGTTCTGAGAATACCAGATCCTGGTTCCAACCCTTCTAGAGCACTTTTCTTAGAATCTGTGTGTCACCTGTAATTTTATATATTCTCATTCTGGTTCCTATATATTTTTAAAGAGGGTTAGAGATTCAAGATCAGACTCCTATGTCGCCACCCATTCCGAGGAGAGTTCCTATTTCATTTGGATACGACTAAATAAATACATGAACCATTTATAGTGTCGGAAGTTGAGAATAATTCAATTTCTTAACTTTTCATATTTTGTATAGATATAATAACGATTTACGTTTGGGATCATATGGCATACTGACGAATTCCAATGAAACTCTAAGGGGCCAAATAATATCTATCTTCTTAGATATTCAAGCAGGCGTTTGGCCCAGCCTAGACCTAAATATAACTACAAATATGACTGTTGAAACAAATGGAGGAATACCGCAGAAGGCCAATATTACAAGGCATCTTGCTCAATTAGAGGCGAACATAAACACATTAATGCCTGATTTAAATTTTAGTGTTTAAAAAATATTTTTTTTATCATTGATTTTTGATTTCAAAATTTAAACATTTTCTTGAAATTTATTATTTAAAAAAAGATTATAAGGAAGTCAGTGATTAGTTCATAGGAGGTATATAGTTCCTTTAATAATGCCAATTAATAGATAAATTTGCTCATATTAGATAAAGTTTCAAGTGATTTAAATTATTTCATCAGGGGCTCGGTGTGATCGATTTCGAAAAATATCTTCCCTGGTGGAGTCAAACAAACTTTGGAATTTACCAAAAATATCGGGTAATTTTATTAAATAACGCAGTAAAATTATGAACAATTATAAAATGATGAGGCTTATTTGTTTAAACATAGGTGGAAAACTCAAAAATGTTAAAAAATTTGATTCGCCTATTGATTACGACAATGTCATAATTGGGGAAAGAAATATCTTTAAGTCCAGGCTGCGATTTTTTCGGAAATCTCTTGGCTTGTTTCGGATAGCGTTGTTAAACTACCTAACTTTAGTCAACTATAAAGCAGAGTTAGCCATATTTTTATCCAAAAATATTCTAGTCGATCTTTAAGTCGAGACTCAATTTAGAAGCCTTTCACTTTTTTAGGCTAAAAGCTTGACTAAGCCACAATAGGGATGGTCAAAGTTAGGTAATTTAGCATAGCAGCACAAGTTTCGGATTTTTATTTTGATTATTTTAGGGTCTAGCCCTAAATTTTTCAAATTTTTGTTATTGGGAATCATTTTGGCTGTATCATCTTATCTTGAAGATTGCTCAAAAGAGAAATTGAAAATATGAACAGTAAATTAGTATTAAATTCTCCATTAAATACGTGTTTTCAAAATCTTCCAGTATCGTTTCGGGCCTGCAGATCACTGCTATATTTGGTGCTTTATGGGGTTAATTCTATTTTTTGGATAATATAAAAAGA